ATATATATATATGGAGTCTCTGTTCAACATCTTCTTTCCTGTTTCTTCTGTTTTTTATATTTTAATATCAGCACTACATCCAGGCCTAGCATGTAGTTGTTACAGCGTTTGTGTTGTTTTTGTGTTTCTATGTAGATGAAAATGTTTCTAGAAACAGTGACATATTTGGAAAAAGAACATTTTGTAAAGACATAATGTTTGTGTTAGTGAGGCCTGAGTTTTAGCCATTTTTGTGTTTGCTAAAGTCAATTAGCTGAGGCCATTGACTCCACAAATTAATCAGATCATTTCTGATAGTTTCAATAAAATAGAAAAGGAGGATGGATCATTTATAGGGTGGCAGTGTTGTACATATTGGCTACTTTTTAGCTGCTGCACCAAAGTGTAATGTCCTCTTTAGCGACGTTAGTAATAACCACACATGCTCCAAGCTGTACTTCATATCACTGTCCATTTTCTGCACAGCTCCAGGAGTCCATTGTGTTGTTTAGCTGCCTGCATTGTCCTCCTGGGCCACTTTTAGACACTGATAAGAGTATTCTTGCCCTTTGTCTCGTAGCTGTTGTCTCAAGTGTCTCAGGAGTGTGATGCTTGCATAAACAATTGTTGCAGGGTTACACAGGGGTCATAAAGATGTCAACGTCTATAAGAAGGGACTATTTTTAGGAGTTAAACTGAAAGGCTGTGTCTGAAGCTGTTCAGTGACACAAACAGAGAAATATATTTTATCCACATTAGGGTTGTAACTAAAAATGTTTCCTATTATCAGCTTCTTAACAGAAAGATGTCCGTGAACCATCGATAATTTATCAGCCGACAGATTGAAATAAGATGATGGATAACTTTGTCTTCACATTAAAAACAGTTGTTTAACCAATAATTCTAAGGTATACAGTACATCTTTTTATTTATCTATTTCTGAATAAGCAAATTGCTTTTGGTTAAAAATGCATACTAATTAATCACAGTTTTTGTTACATAATAAGGTAAATTGTCACCCAACCCACTACTGTGTAAGCTTTCCTGCACATTTCTCCATCCAGATGGCAAAACATTCAATAATAT